TAATCTTTTAAACTGATATCACCACCCAGCACTTACTCTACTCCTAAGTAGCACCTACAGTAAAGGTTATAGCACAAGCAAACTGCTAGGTCAGCAGGTAAGCAAGTTAAACAGTGCCAGCAAAACGTGGCCCCTCCCTCCCCAAAGTAATGAGAAAAACAGCGTGCTAGATAAGAGTTAAGTACACCATTACATGTTAAATAGTTAATATTACCCTTCCGACAAGCCACAAATGCTAGATAGAGAACTTCAGCACAGTCACTAGCCACAGCCCTAACATTACTGCTTTAAAATAAAAAGGGAAAAAGGAGAGGAAAAACCTTTGCTTCATGCCCGTAATTAACATAAAGGAAATTCTTTGTATATTTTTATTAAGGAAAATCATGCTAAAGCAAAGTGGTACTTTAAGAGGTTTGGGTTCCCCCCCCCCCCCAAACAGAAAAAAAAAAAATAAAATTGATTGTGCTTTATGAATTAGAAATAGGATTGTAACCTTCCAACCCCAACGACTCAAAACTTGGTGGCATTTCTAAAGAAAAAACAAAACAAAACAAAACCAAACCCCCAACAATTCTGGGAAAATGACAAATGTACCAGTCTGACATTCAAAACTCTGCCTGAGAGTTGCTCAGGGTGGGTTGATTTTTTTTCCATGCACTGTCCTGTAGGTTGCACCACAAATTCAAACGTCTTGTCCAAAGCCCTCCAAAAACCCAAAAGAATACAGCAGGTAACATTCCAGCATTAAAAATCCATCTTAGTTTGAATCTCCAATGCACAATTATCCAAATTCAAGTATACCGGCATCCCAGGTAGACATTTACTATATTAGATTTTGTAGCATCAAAACAACGAACAAAAATCTCAGCTTGCTGAAAGACACCAGGAGAAATCAAACATTTCAATTCAGAAGCATCCTGGAAAAAAACAAAACAGAACAGAGCAGATTCACTTGCTTCCTCAATTGGTGCTTTTAGGCTTTTTTTTATTCATCTCAAATTTTTCTAGATCATATTCTTTGTTAACTTTTAAGAAATTTTAATCCTGTTGTACACACACAAGCAGATGGCTAACCAAGCTGGTGAAGAAGGTGGGGGGGGGGGGGGAGAATTTTTAAGAAATTAATCCTGTTGTACACACACAAGCAGATGGCTAACCAAGCTGGTGAAGAAGGTGGGGGGGGGGAAAACCAGTGCCGGTGGATGTGTGAACTCCAGCCAATGGGCAATGGGATCTTCGTGGATCTGAAGCTCTCAGCAAGGCTAATCCATCTGGTCAGAGGACCCTCTTAGGAGATGGAGAGTGTTTGCGAGGTGTTTAACCATACTTCAAGCAAGAGGGAAAAAAAAAAAAGCAAACTTGAAGCCGTTAAAGGGCAGCAGTTTCAAAACTATGACAAAGAGTTTGACTTCACATGTGCTCCAGCTAAATCAAAGCACTGTTCAGAGAGCATCGTTTGTGATTTGTGGGGTGGTTTTTTTTTTTCCTTCCGAAAAGGGAACAGCTCGTAATCCAGACCAAGAAAGTGAACAACATCCAGATGAAGGCTTTCAAAAGTCCCAAAAGCAAATATACCAGTGGTTGTCAGTCCCTACAGTTCAGAAGGGCAGGCAGGAGTCCACATATAAAAACGGACTTAAAATCCAAGTCAAAATTTTTAAGCTTCAATGCTCTGAATAGCTCCATGCATTTGTATTGTTTGTTTTTATTTTTTTTTTATTATTTTTTTTTTTAAATGTGACTCCACATAAAATACGATCAGCAAGGTTGACCTGAAGGAGCACCTTTTATTCCACTGTCTGATCTACACGGTTAGTATATCATCCCCCAGATTTTATACTTTGAGAAAACGCTGTTCCACGTTAGCATCCAAGGTGGTGTCTTTGGAAACATCGATAAGAAAGCAAACATCTTTTTGCTAACTCCCTACCTACCAGGGCAGCTGTTTTAGCTGACAGTTCAGTAGCACACAAGTTCACTTGGCCAAATGGAATTTGAATGCATGCATTCGGGCTGCATATTGCTACCAAAATGGAATGTGGGAATATGCTATGCACCTCGGGTTCGAGAAATGACCAAGAAAATCAAGATCTAAAGGGTGATATATATATATCAATGCTATTATTCATAAAAACCTGTTTAGTAATAAAAAAAATTGCTTTGTTTAAATATGAATATTATAGTCTGCTTCTCATGGTTAGGAAATTAGAGTCTCTCTGAAAAGCAGGTTGCCTCTTCTACTACAACTCCATATCCTGAGCCTCATCTTCCGAGAAGTCGGACATGGAGCTCTCAGATGAGCTGTCCCCGGTGCCTTCTTCCTGTTCTTTTAGTGCTTCTTCTGTTGCATATTTCTGAATGTATTCTGTATGTGACAGAAAAGAAAAGACATATAAGCAGCATATATTCAACAGAGGATGGGTGACGACGACTAACGGCTGGTTGGGTCACATCACGTTTGAAAAGTCATATAGGTTACCATGTTTCTCAGATCAAAGGCAGCACTGTCCAACAATGCGTGAAAACAGCTGATGGAGACCTTAGAGACGTGCAAGACCCTTGAAAACAAGTACGATCACAAGGCTCCCACGTCAGCGTCACGCACACTCGTAGCTGGAAACAACCTACGTCCTCCCCGGTATGGTGTATCTCACTTAACAGGACAGCATTCAATTTACTGCCAAAATAGGAGCTACCGTGGTGACCTAGAGAACAAACCTAAAAAGCCATCAAGTTGTCACTATATAGCCTGACTTTAAGAAATGAAGATCCGAGAGTTTAAACCAATAGCACAGAACAACCATCACTGAAGCCAAGCTGAGAGCAAGACTACACTTCCAGACTAAACTCTGCATAAGCAGAGTTTAAGGACGGACGGACAGAGAAAGCAGAGCAGAAGACTACTGCAGGAATAGCTGCACTTTTTTTTTTTTTTTAAAATAAAAAGCAAAAGCTCCCTTCCCCAGCCTTGAAATAAACATGGGTCTGCCCCAGGCTCTGTTTTCAAAGCACAGCTCTTGCAACCTGCTTCACGTCAGACAGCAGCCACAGGATTAGCTGAGAAGGACCCACGGGGAGGCCTCCGCGGGGCGGAGGGCCACCGCGCTGCAGGTCACCGATGGAAACCGTGTCTCACAGCGGGGTCCAAACCACACTGGCTCTAGGCACCCAGATCAACACCTTGAACCTCAGCCAGGAGCAAGCAGGAAGCTGTACGGCAAGCGGGAAAACTGGTTTACTGGGATTCCTGCAGGCAGATAAAGTAACCGCTGCCAACCGTGTGGCTTCCACAGTCACCTCCTCACAGAGGGACAGAGCAAAAGGCGACACGAACTGGATCGGATCAGTCAGACCGAGTCTGGCAACCCCTTTCCTTCCTTCGTGGCTGCAGGAGGCTCCCGCAGTGTCCCCTCTGAGATCTGAAGAGGGGCCGGTGTCCCCAGCAGGCAGGCTACCTTGAGCAGAGAAAGTCTATTCCTTACACGCATGCAGGTGTGCAGAACGGAGCAAGGGTGGAAACTGGGCACAAAACTGGGCTAAAGAAGGGGTTGCTCGGCCTCAACTTCAAGTCTTCCTCTTATTTATCTCCTCTTTTCCACCTCACACAGAGAGCAGCTTCATAGTATGAAGAAGTGATATAACCTCAGTATGCCAACAGCACATCCTCCACGCTGCAGGTCACGCACTTTGGGAAGGAGAGGGGTGTTGTGCTCATGCTGCCATTGGGGAATTACGGTTGCAAACTCATTATCTTTCCAGATACGAAGGTACTAAAATACAACAAAGCCTCCTCCAAACAACAGTATTAAAAAAACTGAAGAAAGAGGGAATACCACCAGCTCTTGGTCCCCAAAGATGAGCCCCTGCGCAGAAATGTGAATGTCACATCCCAGTCCCAGCCCAGCAGCCGTCCCACCTGTATGTTCTTTAATTCCTCCCAGGGAACGAGGTCCACAAGGAGCATCTCTCCTCCAGGAGCACAGATCACTGCTTTTTATTCCATACCGTATCGGCAGGTGGATGCACTGACAAAGCTGCAGGAGGATGCATCTAATGCCAGATAACCAAGTGCTACAACACAGGTTTTAAAGACTGTGCTTTGCAGAGCCTGTCTGTTCCTAAAGCTGTCCCTCTTTCCCTCCACGCTTCCACCCTTCAGCCTAGTGGAAGGGACAATACTCTGCAAGAGATCTGCATCATCATCATCATCACGGTTTTTTTCTGCATTTCTGGAGCTGATGTAGGGACACTGAGCCTAAACGTGTTACTCCGGGCTCAGGAGTATAGTAAGGACAGAGCAACCCGAAGCCAACACTTCATGGAGGAGTTCCCAGAATGGGTCAGCTGGTGGCCTTGGCAGACCTGCTCCAGCCTGGAAAAGCTGTGAGAGCTGGCTGGAAGGTGCTTCTGAGCCCAGTGAGCTTCAGCTTCTCCACCTAATGACGCACGCAGCTTCAGTCCGACTGTTTAATATATATTATTAACCTGCTCCCTCGGACTACAGAAGCAGCTGTTCAAATCTGTTTTACAAGAACTTGTTAAGAACCGATAAAGTACTGAAGGCAGCTATGTAAACACCGGGAAGCACGGAGCGCTCAAGGTCTTGGATTGCCCTCAGGCTGCTGAAGTCCAGGTAGTACCAACAGAAAAGCACCCTTGTGCTCCACCCCCAGGTCCTGGCCACCGAGAACCCCCTTCTTGGAAGGTGCTTGCCCGTGTCACCATGAAGCCTAGGCCCTGCCTGATCACGTCTCCTGCTTGTACCGGAGAACAGGAGTTGCAGAGTCTGGAGCAGGGACCATCTGCCAAAAGAGGTGGACACTGCAAAGCGAGAAGAATTGGTGCGACAGACCTAATGGTTTAAAAATGAGAGGGACTAACTGGAGGAGGGACCCAAAATAGCAGCGTGTCTTCAGAGAATTCACATGGGAAGGTGGGTTGGCAGTAGATGACAAGCAGAGCTAAGGAGATGGGATGCCAACATGACATATCCTTGTAGCGGCTACTCCCTTCCCATAGCTTTCCAAGAATTAATCTCCCTCTGGAAAAGGGGTGTTTACCCAGATAAGTTGTTACTCCTTGCACAATCCAGCAAAGGGAACCCAAGTTCCTTTGCTGTAAGACTTTGGATGTCCTTGGATGACAGAGGCAACCCCTTACTGGGTACCTCAGAAATACATTCCCTCTACGCTTACCCCAAACCCACCTAAACAAACGCTGTAGCTGCCTCGGGAGTCCCCAAACACAGAAGCCACAAGCCGGTGACCATGGCAGGACAGGAGGCCGGCAGCGCTTCTTCACTGCCTACTTCAAGTGCTCTCTGGGCCACTGGAGATTCAGACATGGAAGCCACTGTTCCTTACTGTTGGAAAAGGCCTGCTTGAGCCTAAGCTAAAACACAACTTGAAGCACTTCAAACTTAAAATGCCATCTTCTACCCAGGAAAGCTACCAAGCCCCTGGGCTGGGTTTTTCTGAAGGTTTAATCTGGGAAGGGTCAAACTTCCAGGGAGCTTCTGTGCTGAATGTTGTATTGAACTTGGATCTTCAGTCTAATAAGGAAAGAAAACGGCAACATCTAAATAATACTGACAAACTGTCTTCCACAGAAGCCTGTTCACGTCAAGAAGGGAAAGCCTTGATGCACCCATTCCTACCAGGGAAACACCGCTTTGATTCATCCGTTTTGAAACCCTGGAGCAACAAGAACAAGCTGTGGTTGTGCCCCGTGGCTGGTACGTGCCTGTGAGCCATACCGGTGTTTCAAAGGACTCTAATGGAACTTCAGAGCCGACAGGTGGGATGGGAGAACTGCTCCCAGAGATGTCCTCTGCTCCCAGCAAACACTCAGCCTGCCCCTCAGCACCCTTCAGCTGCTGTTACTCGCCACCGCCACCCTCCCAAAAGAAGTTTTCCTATTAGATCTACCAAAGAGAAAGAAGAGCAGCACACACGGGAGTTAAGTACCAATTCCCAACAGCTCAACGCAAGCAAACGTTGAGCCATTTTTGGGTATCTGAAGCCCACCCTCCGGTGCTCTGCCAGTGATCAGGCAAGCCATCTCACCGAGGACTGTCAGGGAGATCTTAAAGGAGCACTTGGCTCTGCGTCCACGAACTACTTCATCTGCCTGAAGGCTCTAACGCTAAGAATCACAGTCTCCAGCTGTATATTGGTAATATTAATGGGCATTTACAAGTTTCACGATAAATCCTTACTTGTTTGGGTCTCATACCAAGAATCACAGGAACTACAAATCTTGGGCCACATCTCTAAGCCTACGCCCATCTCTTCACTACCACTATGTCAAACAACTGTTCTATGCGCTCATAACTAAAAAATGAAGAAAAGCAGCAATAAATTATGTATTTGCACTACTGAGTTTCCCAGAGCAGAGAAGCTGCTGCAATCCATTGCATCAATTTTAAAATGCGCAAGGCTATTTTTAAAAACCCTACAAATATGAGGAATGACAGTGTTTAGCTCTATCTTATACTTGTCACGCAAGCCTGGGAAGAGACAGCAGAAGCAGGACTCTTGGGTACATGGAACATGAGACATGTTGCAAGCAGTTAAAACTCCTTCCAGATCACCTTCATGGCCTGTACCTGGCTGTCAGGGTGGAAACGAGGGAGCAGACTATCCCATTTAGCTTCCCTGAGGGACGTCCTCAGATCTTTCTTGAAGCACCTGCTGTTGGCTAGCATCAGTTTATTTGCTTTTTTCAAGGTTGTATCTTTTTTTATTCCTGTTTTATTAAAGCATAGAGGGCAGCCAAACTGTCCCTCATGTTGGCCCTGGAGATTTTATCTGACAAACCATTTTGCCTGGAAGCTTTGTCATATGAAAAAAAGGCAGTGGACTTCAGGATACTGAGCAGGCCAGGTCTGCAGGGTAGTTCTTACGATCCTGTCATGCAGCTGTCAGAGGAGCCAAGCAAAGTGGGCTGAATAACTCGCTATTTAAATCACAGCTTTGCTTGGCCTCATTTGTAGTTCCACCCTCAAACAAAAATTGCAGCTGATGAAGAGTCATTTCACATCAGAACAAAGTGACTTGAGATTTAACCACTCCGGAGCGATGTGGCAGAGCTGATGGAAGGACTCCACCACCAAATCCCATGTCTTTCTGGGATATCTGCACTTTCCAAATAAGAGCGAGCTTTCACAATGCTCCGTTAGGAAAGCTGCTACACCACCTCACACCGGGAAGGCGATTAGATCGTGCCGCTCATGGAGGCTCTCCTTGCTGAACAGGCCCTGCAAACCTTTCTGGCAGGGCTCCCATGGACAAACAAGTCTTATGGTTATTCAGTAACCAAAAAAGAAAAAAAAAATCAGGCGGTCATGGTCTCTTAAAAACTTAGTTGAAGACCAAATCTGGGCCAAAGGCTGTAAATTTCCCACCACTGGATTAAATGCTGACTGTGTTCACTGGATCAAGGGAGAGATAAGTAAAATCAGGCTCATGGTCTCTTAAAAACTTAGTTGAAGACCAAATCTGGGCCAAAGGCTGTAAATTTCCCACCACTGGATTAAATGCTGACTGTGTTCACTGGATCAAGGGAGAGATAAGTCCATGGCTTTGCCATAGGCTTGTCACATCAGGAAATGGTGCCCTGCTCCTGTCTGCATGCAGCTGATTCTAGGGAAGGCAGAGCACAAATTTAAGGTAAAAAATAAGAATCGTGCTTTATTTATGTTTGCGAAACTAATTCAATTTGCATCTCACATACTGGCTTGCTAGGACAGTCCTTCTATCACCAGTCTTATCCAAAGTATTTGAGTCTCCTTACTGGGAGCCTTCCCTGATCCCAAGGAGGTACTGACTATTCCTCAGCCTTGTCTAACATGTCCTTCCAACCTTTCCAAGAGCAGACACACCAGCACCCTCACTGGCTCTGCCAGTGCTCACCTACCCTCGCCAATCACTGTTAATGTTTAGCCTGGGCTCCCCCAGCCGAGTTACACGCCTGTGACCACGTCCTGCTCACACTGATCACAGGATAAATCATTCCCTTCCTCTTTGAAGGCACCATTGACATGAACCCCATTCAGTCCTCTAGATTAAACTCCTCCAATTCTTTCCCCCTCTCCTCTTAAGACCATCTGCCCTTGTCACACCCTGCCAGACTTTAATAATTGGTCTGCAGCTTTCTTAAATGGCTGTCCCTGAATCGGGCACAGCAGTAGTAAGCCTTGGCTGAACTAGGAAGTAGCAAGGAAGGATTACTTGGCATTTACCAAAAATTCCTGCTCTGTCACGGTACAAAAGTGCTTTCTGCAACAGCATCACCAATTCCTTGATTGCTGCTCTCAGATCACTTTCCACAGAACTGCTAACAAGCCACTTTCTATCCAGTAATTGTGCAACTGGATACTCTCGTTTCAGTTTAGCACTTTTCCTTGTCCCTTCTTTGGTCGCACAGCCTTTTCTTCCGAATCATTTCTCCGATCTCTCAAAATCGTGCTGAATCCTAACCCAGTTTGCTTACAGTCTTCCCTGGTTAGGGTCTGCTAATGACTTAAAAGCCCTGCCCCACGTACTGCATTCCACCAGCTCTGGTCTTCAAGCAGCAGCAGTTCATCCCCCCCTTACTTCAGACGACCCCCATTTAAAATGGATGGGGACCCTGTAATGGGAAGGAATGGGCACTGACACACAAACGTGCAGCAAAAGACAGTCCTCATTCCCCCAGGGTGGAATCACAGTAACGCCGCTCATTCCGCAATATGTTATTTACACCCTTACCTTTAATTTTCTGTTTGTACTCTTCTGGTCGGTGGAGGTACATGGCTGCAGCGTCACCATTTAGAGGATCTATAGGGTTAGGATAGGCCAGCAGCTGGGGCAGGAACGATTCAAATATATTGGTGAGATCTGCAAGTGAAAGACACAGTTGTTCATGTCCACAGACCCACAGTCAGTCTGATTAATCCTCCCGCAAGCACCAGCACTGGAACAGCAGCACAGAGCTTCAAGGGCAAACGCACTGAAAATCTGGACGCAAGTTAAATTAAGGGAAACTGCATCGGGGAAAGCACATACGGGGCTGATGAGAGAGCTTCTGCTGCTGCTGGAGGTATGCTGCAGCTCCTCAGCTAACTGCACAAACTACTCGACATACCAACAACGTAGATGCAGGTATCTGTGGGTTAAGCAAAGTGGAAGGACACAATTGTCTTGTTTCCCATTGAGGCTCAGCCCTGGCTTAAAACAAAGGAAAAAAGAAAACCAAAGCGCTGTGCTTCAGCCCTCACTGAATTCTTCTCCTACTTCTGCCTCCTTCTATTACCGTCTTTAAATGTCTTATGCTCCATGACTAAATTAACGTTATCTCAAGTATAAAGCATCTTCCAAAGTGCTTTAGATGATTGTGTTAATAGAAAGAGCAACCAACAAGTCCCTCTTCCAGCTCAAAACAATTCGCAGAATGTGAAGAGATCACATTAACACCTTGGTGCCAGTTGGCATCTGTCACTAAATAATCCACAACAGGAAACATACTTCTGGTGCCGATGAGTAATTGTGGATACACGAAACCCTCTTCCCACATCCCTAAGACGACAAGTACCGCATTTCAGCTGTGGGGGTGTTTAGAAACAAGCCCTGCGTCATCATTTCTCCTTGGGGGCTTCAGAAGGACCACGCGCACCCACACAGAGGAGAGATTAAACCCCCAGTGCAGGGCTGTGCGCCAGGTTTCACTTTAGCCACTGGAGAGCTGGTGATACAGGTAGACCAGCATTCGTCATGTGGGGGTTTCTGTTGGGTTTTGTTTGTGAATACAAAAGATGTGAGCTGTCAGAAGGGAAGCCCAACGCTCCCTAAGATCCACCACGTGAGCAGTTAACCATCTCAACCTGCCTCTTACAGGAACAAGGCTGTGTGACTACTCCTGAGCTCAGCCATCGCTGAGCCTCACGGAGCTGCTAAATTCAACCAGATCTGACGGAAGGCAGGGACCTCAGATCCCTTAACTTTCTAAAAGATTCATCAAAATGGGTGGGCAGGTAGGGGGAGAGATCTCCAAGTGCTCTCCCTGTGCAAATGGTTACTCTGGCTCTGGGCTGCAGCCACAGAAAACCAGGCTCTAATTCCATCGCCAGCAATGATACAGCCTTGGAAGAGCTGCACAGTAGGTCCAGGCAGATCATCACCACTGCCCAACGTTACCACCTCTGCAAATCTACCAACGGGCATGCTTTCAGAACGTGCTTTCAGATCTTGCTCAAGAGGATCAAAGGAGACTCGAGGTTTTGTCAGTTCTTCCCTCCTGCATCAACACGCCTGGGACGTACAGACACTGCGCTATGCCTACTTCAGTCACCCATTCAGCATAAACCCTGCTGAGCAAGAGGAAAGGCCATGGCTTTACCTACTCAGGAGCATAGAGTTCATTATAGCTGATACTGCATCACCCAACTGCAAAAAGTAATGACATCGATTGCTATGGATAGCCATCGGCTGGTCTCTGCTATACAGGGACACCACTAAGAAATTATGTGGTTTTACCCTGAAATTTCTTTCCACTATAGAACCTGTTGCCCCTTCCAATACTGGCAGAGGACAGTGACAAAGCCCTTTAGAGCGCACATGGTACCTTGACCAAGTTTGCCATGGCTGGCACGCTGAGCAGTCAGGGGCCACCAGCTGCTTCTAGGATAAGCACAACAGCAACTGGAAGAAGGATCCTAATCCAAAAAGGGACCACAAAAAACAGTGAGAATGCTCTATAAGAATACTTTCTGCCATGGTAGTGGCTTGTCCTTGGTAAACCAATTAACCCTCCTAGGGACTGGGTTCAAACACTATCAGCAAGAAGTTGGGTCAAGTCTCTCCATGGAACAGGCTTAGATCGAGTATTTCTTTGTGGCTGTTAGACAACTGAACTCCCACATAGACTGAGCAAGCAGGGCCGTGGAAGGCCACCATGGCTCACAGGACACTGCAGGGATTTTTCTTTTTTGCTTTAAGAGACCTCAGTCATTTCCCCCTTCTTTCAAATCCCCAAAAGCGGCATTGGTTTAACTAGTTGAACATGTGTGGGAAGCCTAACCATAGTGCTAAGGACTTGATACTTCATTAGGGAAGGAGAGGGAATTTAGCCACAGGTTCTCATGAATTTATTGGTAGCTATTCTGGGTCTCTTCCACCTTAGTTGCTTCTTGAATTATCTGACCCATTTCCTCTGCCAGCGCAGGAGCGCTCTGGTTTAAAGGGGTGACACTCCAAACAACACAGCTGTGCCGAGAGGCACCGGGGAGTATTATTTCCCCCTTTCCATTCCACGTTCAGAAACGGGCCACCTCCTGACTTCAGACAAGGAGGCAAAGCCCTGGAAGTGAAGAGGTGATGTAGGCACTCTAGTGTGGCTGACTTCCGAGTGAAGGGGCAGAGCGAATGCAGTCACCCCAGCGTCCTCCCTGCAGCTTCAAGGCATCCTGCAGCAAGGCAAGGGAAGTCTGCAATGACTGTCAAGCGATGCGCTTTCTAATGCCACGTTTCATCGGTTACTGTGGAAAGTGCTCTGTACAGAATACGCAACTGACACCTTCAAGTTGCCTTACACCTATCACTGACATCACAAGGAAAAACGGAGAAGATTTTTGCACGCTTGCTGATATTAATACATCGTAAGCACAGCAAACACCAAAGTTGTTTTTTCTACCTTTGCAAGGAATAACGATGACAAAAATACAGCAGTACTCATTAGGAAACCTCTCACAGAAAGCCCTCCTATGAAGTTGTTTGGAAATAGTGCAGAAACCCCACTGTGGCCGTCTGCGAGAGCGTGCTGCAGAACAGGGAGGCTATCCATGCATGGCTTCCAAAGCAAAACCCAGATTGCCAGAGCACAAAAAACAGCACCACAGTTACACTGGAGCGATTTTCTTTTGTCCAGCCATCCCCACGATCTGCAGGTGGCATTTTAAGGGTTGGAACAGCAGCACACGCTGCACTGTGCCGGATTCTGCTGCAGACTGAACCATGCAGGTTCATCCCCAGCAGAGGGCTTGGTTTGCTAACACCGCTTTAATTCCTCCATCTCGCATCAGATCCTCCCAGGACACAAGAGCATCCCCCTCCTCCATTACCAACACCACCTGGGTCACGGCTAAGCTGATCTCTCACAACAAAACCATGTGAAGTGCATGCCACGCAGCTACTATGTGAAGACTTCAGGCATTCTGATGAGGAGTAAAAGTTCAACAAGTTGCTATAGCAATTTCCCACCCAGGATTCACCAAGTCTGATATTTTCTTACAAACTGTGCTTGCGAGGAAGGTGAAGTAGCTTGTCTCTCTAGCAACTGCTTCAAAGCTTCAGCTTACATAGGTAAAATCAGTTTTTCATGGAAGAACGTGAAGGATTTGATGTGCACATTCCCCTGAATAGTCTTCCACAAAGCATAATTGCAACATCTGAAGAAGTTCACGTTTTTAAAATGCAGCCAACCTAGACCAGATACTCAACCGTATTCCTTTTAACAATCTCAGCTTTCCCTAAATGCTATTTTAACAGGTCTTCAGCTACCAGCTAAGCTTTCTGTATCTCTAAAAAGGAGAGTTATAGCCAGACAGGACCTAATGGGAAACCCAAAACATTCTGCAGCAAGCAGTGCAGTCATTAGTTGCACTACCACCTCCCAGCCTGCAATGAAATGATGCTGCCATGACAAACAGGAACGGTTTCTGGTGCCATCTTCTGTAGAAGTGGGATCATAGCCCTGTGCACAAAGAATACCAGCTCGAATGCACGTACAAAACGTGGATGGGGTAGCTGGAACTAGGTTTCACTTTAGATACAGTCACCCCTCTCTTTCAATGCTGAATCATGGCTGGGTGCTGTCGTGCAGTTGCCAGACACTGCCAAGCAATGGATTCAGCGATCCTTTGTGAGGTTTATGGAATATTTTCACATCTCCGGCATAAAACCACGTTACGAAAGTATTTTCACATGAAAATCTTATTTTTCACGTGATCTTGGCTCAGTGAGGAGTCTAAAACTTCAGTAAAAAAAAAAAAAACCAAAAAGAGTTGGCCTTAGATCATCCATATCCAGCAAGCTGTGCTGTGTCAACACACCAAATAAGGATGCTCACGTGATCAGCTTTCGGGGAAATGCCAAACTCACCGTAGAGAGCTGTCCAAGTTTGATTGATTACATCTAGACATACAGTTCCTGACCTGAAACATATGGAAAGGATGGAATTAAACACAGTCACACTCAAAAATACTCTGGGGATTTAATATAATCTACCCCCTCCCTTCCCCTGCCCTGCCTCTGCCCCACTGTTTCAGATAAGCTGTGATTTACTCCTGCCTTGTGGTTAATAGAGGGGCAGCCTTTAACTACATGAATCTTCATACTCCGCACAAAAATAAGTAAATTGGAGCCATTACTGAATTAGTTGGTCTGTGTGGGGCTCTGCTGGAGAGACTAAAGCATAGGTGGCTCCCCTCAACAAACCTTAACTGAAAAAAGCGTGGCAAAACATCTTATGTTTTGAAGAATTTTGGTATGGACGTGAACTTCAGCTAAAGAGGGAGCTGTGGCTTAGCTGACGCTGTTCCTTGTTTCTAGAAAGCCGGCATAATGCCAATGAGGAGGGGGACTGGCAACCCTGAATTTTCTGTAAATGAAGCATGTTGCAATACAAAGACCGCATCTGCAAGAGAGTCTGCAGCATGCAGCTCTCTAGTCTTGCCCACAGCCTGACCCGCTCCTGGACGTTAACCTGCGACAACATCTACTTCTATCAGAGCCCCCACTCTGGACTCTTAGATTGATGAAAGCATTATTTAACTCATCAGCGTATTATTGTGAAGCCAAAATACAGTTACAATTAGACAAACTCCTTAGAAAAGCCACACACTAGCGATTTACTTACGCTTCGTCAATGTTGGGATGGAAAATTTTATTCATGAATCCTGCAAAGAGACACACTGGTAAATAGCAGAAAACAGCCAAAGATCTCTTTTTTTTTTTTTCCCCCCCCCCCAAGAAAGGCCGGGATTTGACATCTACTTCTATCAGAGCCCCCACTCTGGACTCTTAGATTGATGAAAGCATTATTTAACTCATCAGCGTATTATTGTGAAGCCAAAATACAGTTACAATTAGACAAACTCCTTAGAAAAGCCACACACTAGCGATTTACTTACGCTTCGTCAATGTTGGGATGGAAAATTTTATTCATGAATCCTGCAAAGAGACACACTGGTAAATAGCAGAAAACAGCCAAAGATCTCTTTTTTTTTTTTTCCCCCCCCTCCAAAAGAGAAGTCGAATTTGCTGAACAAGGACTCATCTGACTAGTTTCAAAGAAAACCCAGCCTTAGCCATATATAGCTATGTAACCTTTAAAATACACAGGCAACATTCTGACCCTAGGGTCCTTGTCCATTCCCTCGAAATTCAGCAAAACCCTCTGCTTACAGTGCAACTGTACCACAAAGGTTTTGTGGTTCAGTATTATCTTGAAAAGAACTGCCCATCAGCACACTCGAGCAACCCACATCTGACGAAGTGTTTTTAAAAGCTGCAAGGATCTTTTGAATAAACACTAAACACAAAACTTAAGCTCAACATTTGCTTTAAGATTAATTTTTTTTTTTTTTAATGTCTTCCAACAAAGATTTTCTATGAACTTGAAGTCGCAACATTAGTCTACGTTTGTAAGCCATTCAGGGGCAGAGACCGGTGCAGAGAGCTAATCCTTCAAGTTTTGCATCGATACAGCAATTAATTCATCAGCTGGTACCTCTGGTCTCCTAGAAAAGAAAACAGCTCAGATGCAAGGTCTAGAATGAGAAAGCTCATCTTGGCTTCGTCCACATTTCAGACTTCTAGATTTGATAGTGCTATCTTTGTTCTGACTTGCAAATTGAATAGTTAAAAAGAATCCTGTGGTTTCAAGACTTACAACATCACGGTAGAAGATGCCTCACACTTTAAAGACTGCATCTGATAGCAGCAGCTAGAGGTAAGCCATGTTTTCCAGCTGTCTACTTTAACCTCAAGTTCAAGACAGATGGCACCTCAAAAACACTCCCCTCTTCTCCCACAAATAGAGTTTGTAAAACAAAGATATTAAAGGAATTATAACACACGATACTCGGCACCACAGCCTGTGTAGAAGTAAAGCACATCCACCCCAAAAGCAAAGTTAAGTGTTTCAGACGATGGCTGTGAGTGGATGCAGGATCCAGCTTCCAAACTCTTCCCTTTCCTTTCAATAGGAGGAACCCAAATACCTGGGTGCGGACACATCCCCAGCACAGAACAGACACGGAGCAGGGATAGAAAACTGGGTTTTCCAGTTATTTCATTGCCAAATGGATCAAGTATTCCTATACACTTCTGCTGGCTTGGCCGAATCATTTGGGCTCTGCCCAGAAGGGCTGCTGCAACCCTTGTTTCTGTAAGACGTTAAGCTGCTTCCACAAATTAACGCTGATTTTTTTCAGAACTTAAAATAAAACCTTCTTTCCTCTGTTGTACCACCATCCCGCAGCCTGTAAAGCCCTACAAACACTGCCCATGTGGGAATCACACCTTTCCGCAATAAGCGGAAATCTACTTTAGCCAACAGCAACTATTTCTTCTGACAAAGGTCCGTGTTTATTAAAATGGGTAAGAAATTTAGGTCTGGGATATTGACTCAATCCATTTAAAAAGCTCCTTCCAGCACTAAAAACACACAGAAGTTTTCTCTTTAGAGCAGTCACCATTTACTGTTCGGCAAACTCCCTACCTTCACCACCTTCATCCAGCCACTCCAGGCGAGACATTGCAGTAGTGCTGATGTACCATCTCTGCCCAAACAAGGAGCGATTGCGATTTGAGCGACAGCATGGTTCCCATCTGGGGTAAGAGCTGACATATGGATTTAACTCCCTTTCTTTCCATGTATTATGACACAAATATAATTTCGTGTTTACTTGTACTGCTCGGATTTTGCATAAATACAACGCAAGGCTGAAACGATGCCCGAAGCCAGAACGGTCTCTAAAAGAACTGAGAACCGCATAAACAACTCCACACTAACAAGTGTCTTTCAGGAATAACTTGCCATGATTTAGCTTGAAAAACTGAAGCAGACTTAAAAAGGGGAAGCTGTAGTTCCATCAAATATTTACGTTATGGCAGCTCTCACAAGTTTAAATCAGGTCACAGATCCATTATGCCGGCACTGGAGAGCTACAGCGAGCACCGATCCCGATTCTAAATCCTCTCTCTCTCTTGGGGGGGGAAGTTAAGTTTCTGATAAAACAGAATAGAAGAGAGGATGGGGGAAGACACCAGGTAACACGGTAGTGTGTAGACCTGCTGAACAGGATGCCTGCTCAAGCAGCTCCTATGCTAGAGATCTGTAATTCTTCTCTGTCATCTTTGCGTTCACCCAGGCAAGGAACAATCCCTTCTTTCACACTGTCCTTGGTCTCAAGCCTTGCAAATGAAACAGTTGTTCTTCAAGAAAGGACACAAACACTCTCCCCGCACTCCTCGCTTCCTAGGTTGTTGCTGCATCTTCTTGCAACTCTTCAAGGTCCCCGCAGTCTCATTCTCCTACAGACACAAACTGCCCAGGCCAAGAGCAGCTCTGTTCATATCTTTCCTTCTCCTGACCCAGAAATAAGCTCAAACTATTATCTCCTCCTTTATTTGAAATGTAAAGTCACCTGCAGTGATAAAGCACTAACGTTGCTCCAATAATACTGACTTGCTCTGTATTTATTTTTACAAATTCAAAAGACAAAGCAAGCATAAACATCCATGTAAAAATGAAATTTAAAGAGGAAGCCAGGAGTGAAAAAACTCCCAAGCCAGCATATACACTGGGGCAGGTTTACTGCCATAGCCTTGAACACAGCGCACCCCAATTAATACACCGCACAGAACTACAGGTGAGCACTCCACGAAGAGCCAAGGGACAGGCTCTTGATTTTGGGTCCTCACCATGGGCTGGAGCATGAAGCTGAGGTCACAGCCTGAGCAGTCGCCATTCTGTGTGCTGGACTGGCTGTAAACACTTAATTTAACATTTTAAAACAGTATTCACACTGAACCCTGGCAAAGCCAACACTTAGGAGGAATCTGAGCAGCAGAGTGGCTGCAGTCCACCCTTGCCATACAGAGACACCGAGGTCCAGGCTTGCTTTTGAAGGTAAAGCAGGACTGCATAAAATCTGCATGGACAAAAAGCCTTTGGGTGGTAACAGAAAAAAACCTGTACATCCACAAAGGAGTTACACAACAGAAAGAGACACATCTGTTTCGATACTGGAAGACGCTGAGACCAATATGCAGATGCTGACCTTCAAAAACGCTGGTATTTCAGCAATAGCCCTGGAGTAATCACTCCTTGGGTTGACAAAAATCTTTGAAGAGAAGCGCATTTTTAAATTAAAAATCAGCTAACTGAAAGGCTGTCAATCTTCCTTGATGCTGCGAACACAGGAACATTCATAAAGCTCCAGCAGCTGGACCTATTCCAGTAAGAAATGAAGTTCTCTCACCGCGCTCACGCACCAACCGTGGATGGGTCTGAACATCCAGGGCACTGACTCGCAGTTGGGTCAGATCGGTCACTCGGAGGATCGGGCCCTGTGGCTGGGCGATAGCTGAACATTGCTCTCCAGGTGAGCAAAACCGCAGCGGAGAATCAGGGAGGAATTTCAGACTTACGTTGATGTCAACGTCTCTCTTGAACGACTGCAGACTAAAGCTCCCAGGAAATGGCTAGAAGGCACTGCCAGAACCAACGCGCTGTCGTGAGCTGCTCTGCCAGCAACTTCTCCTCCAAGAGGCAGAGCCCAAATACCTGGATAACTTGGGGAACGCTGAGGACTCCCAAGGCACCTCTTGTTGCCCTGTGGAGCCATTAGGCAGAAAGCTCCTGCAAGAGGTTATTCTGCATCAATGGCTCCCCTATCACTATGCCTATAGGGCTGGACCATGATTTAGAAAGGGTCCCCTACCTTGGTACAGCCCTCATCTACTAGTCAGGCAGAACGGATGCAAAACTTGGAGATAAGAGGGACCAGAAACCTGGGCTGGAGACTGCCGCCTCGCTCTTACCACAGCTCCAGCTGCACAATGCTGGCCCGCGGCAGCAGAAAGCTTTCTGTATCCCTTGGTGCTTCTCCTCCAAGTCAGGAACCGGCTGCAATCCAACAAGCGGCGCTTCAAAAGGTGGCCCGTTGCTTATCTGAGCTCAAAGTACAGCCAGCTTAGCTGGTAGGCTAGGTGAGAGGTCCCCAAAAGAGACTTTTTTCCTGCAGCACAGCTCTTCAAAGTGATGCTAGTGCTGCTAGCCCTGCTGAAGCATGCGGGAAGGAGGAAAAGCAGCGTGCCAGCAAACACAGCACATCCCAGCCTCCCGGCTTCGCGTCTTCTTGCTCAGCGGGGAGTCAGCTGCACGGCCCGACCACGCCAGCGATAACTGTAAGAGGACTTCCCACTGGCTCTGGAGAACGTGCCAGAGCGGAGCTAGTTTATATCCACTTACCCACCCCAAACTCACCACTGCTTGCCCACGTGTCGGCTCTCTTTGCTCATAAAATAAGGCCAGCTGGACACTTTTCTACCTGAACAACTGTGACAGCAGATTCATATCCCTGTACCACCGTGGTGCCAAACAAACGGCTGACAGGACAAGTGTATGTAACCGCTCTTGACTTTTCAGTGCGGCAAGACTGACAAGCCTCAAAGATTTACTTTAAATGAGATTAAGGCCAAGTCAGGAAACCGTTCAGACTGCCTGGCTGGTGAGGTGGGAAGGTGGTTACAGTCTCTGACGCAGGATGCAGTGAGTTTTAAATACCACACCAAGTCAACGTGGCTTGGGTGACCACCCAAGGCTTGGGGCAGAAGCACGCAAAAGAGCTTATGTACAGCACAGAGAGGTCAAGAGCAGTGTTTTTCC